TTGGCCACTCGATGATTTGATTTGACTTATGTGCCGGGCCCGGTCAGAACTGAATTGATGTGTTTGATTAAGTTCTATGTCGAATAAATCGGAGATCGAGAAATTTAAATGCATGACTAACCATTCCATAGGATTGTCAGCATGATATCTAACAGAGGACTGTACGATCCCTTATCTAAAGGACAAGATTGATTAGATCAGAGTTGACAGCGTCTTTGAGAGCTACGATTGCAAACCGAATTGTACTTGTATAGTTACTAGACTTATCCAAGTGGGAGACTGTTGGAATAGTGTCTAAGGCTGTAACTATATTCGGTTGTGCATGGTCCTTTTGGGTTGCCTTCACCATAGCAACTTGAAGGATGATTTGTTAAGAGAGAGTAAATATTATAAGGAATAATATATGGCTATTTGATTAATATAAGTCATAAATTAATTGGTATTAATTTGGTGACTTAAAGAGATTAATTAAATAAGAGGGTATAAACTGTCAATTGTTTGATAGTTACACTTTAGACTGTAAATCCTTATCCTAGATAGGATGGACGATTTCTAGGGCTTGGATAAGCCAAAATCGTCCATAGGGTTATCTATGGAATGGATTTGGATAGCCTTAAGAGAAGATTATCCAATTAGGGTTTAGGTTGTAACCCTTAAGGAGTCTACAAGTATAAATAGACCCTAGGGGTGAGGGAATTCGACACACAACCTAAAGCAAGGAACCTCTGGCCGAATTCCTCCCCTCTCCTCTCTCCTAAATCATCTTGCTTGCTATTGGTGTTTGTAAGCCATTAGAGGAGTGACATTTGTGACTCTAGAAGCTCCAAGACAAACAAGATCAACAAGGAACTCAAACGTATGATTCTAGATCTGTTTCATCATTGTTAGTTAACCTAATTAGCTATTAGAAGTCTTGGATTCAAAGCATGTTTAATTAGAAAGCCTAGATCCGAGCAATAGGGTTTTGCATGCGCACATAGGAAAGTTCTTATGGCTAAAACCCATCAGAAATATCTCAGATCTAGAGAGAAACCAACAAAAAAGACAAACATACGCCAAAATATCTCATATCTAAAACCCTATTGCCGCTACTAGAATGAACCATCACTGCCGCCACTGTCGTTTGACGTACCAGATGTTAGATCTATGAGCTCCAATGACTGACAATGCCTAATCCAGAAGCTGTGGTGACTGGCTAGGATCCACCACAACCACCTTCATCTAAGGATCCACTACAACTGCTGAATAGGTTTCGGGGCTTAACTTAAGTAGCTGCCTCCATCTTTTTCTTTCTTTCTGGTCTCTGGTGAAACACATCAGGAATGCCGATTTTTTTTATTTATTATATTAAACTGTTTTTTTACTGTTTTAATCTCTTATTTTTGTTTATTTTGGTTAATCTTAGTTTTAAGTGTTATTAAATTGTGAATCTAAGTTTATTTTATTATTTGTTTTAATATTTTCGAAAAATATTATTCACAGTTTACGTATTATGGTTGTTATGTTATGGCTTTAATTTAGAATGTATGTTATTATGTTAGTGTCTTCTCAAATAATGTTAGTTTAGGTTTTTAAGGTGTGAATTGTGATGTTTTAGATATTGATTAGTTCTGTTAATATTAGTTTTAATTTTAAATGAGTGAATTAATATGTTTTAAGTTGTGAATAATATGAATAAGAGTCATAAACTTTTTTCTTAGATTGTGAATGAGATCCTGAAATGCTTAATTAAACTGTGAATTTGTGTTTTGCATACAAGATGTTTGATGAAATGTTTCAACAAAATCAAGTATGTTTTAAGTTGTAATTACTATGAATGAGAGTCCTAAACTGCATTATTAAACTATGAATTAAAGTCTCGGAATGTAAGTTTTAAATTAAGAATATGGTCATGAATGTAATTTTTGTGTATTAAACTTTGAATTTATTATATTAAGCTATGGATTTTGTGTATTAAACTGAGAGTAGACTGTATTAAGCTGTAACTAATTGTATTAATTATAAATTTAATGTATTAAGATATGAATTTGTTATATTAAGCTGTGAGATTTTTATGAATTTTTTGATTGTTTCTGAAATATAAGATGAAAATAGCATTATACCTACACTACTAGAAAACAGACCTTTAATGACGTGCTTTTTACGACATGCACTGATTAATGATACGCAAAAGGGCGTACCCTAAAAATAATGTCAGATCTTTATAAATTTGAAGAATTTACGATGCGCATTTTTACGTGCCCTAAAATTAGTGTTTCGTTAAAAAAAAAAACACGGAGGGCGCTTATTTTAAAGTGGGCGTCGTCTAAACATGTTGCTTTATAATTTTTATTAATGAAACGCGCGTTTTAGTAGTCAGGGGAATGACATCCCAAAAATTAAATCCCCCCCCCCCCCCCCCCGCCTATTTGCTCATCTCTCAATCTCCCTTGTTCCCTCTACTGATGCCTCCACCTTCTTCCATCGATGTTAATCTTCGAATTAGCTAGAAAGAAACCCTAGGGCCTTCATCTTCACCTACATCCAGCACCTCCAACCCTTCTTCGTTCGTCCAACACAACTCGGGCTTTAATCTGCAAGAAAACCTCCAACTACATCCTCTACATGAAAAAAACCCTAATTGGCAGCCACATGTTGACATCAGTTACCCTTGAGATGAAAGCCTCATTTTGATGTAGAGATCCCCTTGGGCTCTTATGTTAGGGCCGATTTCTCATATATTTGGTTCTTACATCCCCTTTAACCAAACCCTTAGCATCCCAAAATAACCCTAATCTTCCGTTCGTTCTTCTTAGTGGCTAAAGAGGGAGTTGTTCGAGTTTTTGTGTAGGTCTGTCGGATTTTTGAGTCACCATCGAGGGAGAAGACAGAAGAGGACCTCAAGACAAACTTTGCTTGGTATCGATTCCTGTTCTTTTCTTCTCCTTCATTTTTGTTTTTTACATCAAGCACCACCTACCGTCGTGGCCGACAACCTAGGCTATCGACGTGTTTCTCTACCACCACCCACAACCATTAGGTGGTTGTGGTTGTGTGTGTGGGTGTTGTTAGCATGAAATGTCCACTTTCAGCTCCTACAAAACCTTCAAAGCCCAGGATACCAAGGTTAGTAGGTGTTTCTTGTTCGATTTCTCAAAAGATATGTGACCAACAAAGCAATATCAGACCTGGTTCAAAAGTCGATTGTACCCCTGTGGCCAAGACAAGACAAGTTGCTGCCAAGTATATGACAACTCCAAGGAACAAAAAGTGTCTTTCCAAAAGAAATTGTTATGAAATGATGTTCCATTTATCTATGTGTTCATACTTTGTTCATGTGTTTCACCTCAAATATGACCAGAACCACTGCCAAAAGAAATTGGTATGAAATGATGTTCCATTTATATGTTTTCCCCTTTTTTATATGTTTACCTTAATTATTTACCTTCTGTTCATGTTAACATTTAACAACAGCTAAGCAATGGATTGTGGAACCTTATCCAAGAGGATCTTTTCCTTATATAACTTTCTTATAAAATTGTTAATGAGAGGTAAGGGTATAGTTGTCTATTTACAGTCCTACTGATGTTCAACTTGCCTTTAGATTGAGACACGAGAAGAAAACTCTCTTGATGCTGCAAGAGGACTGGTGTATCTACATGAGGATTCACAGCCCATTTATGAAAATTTTCATGTCAAGATTACTAACTTAAATAGCAATATAAATCTTCTGTTAATTTAATTTAATTCCTGCACAACAAGGTAACAAAATTTAAGAGAACAAATGATGGTGAAGTCTAAAAAAATGTACGTGATTCAATTGTTAATTCAATGAGAAAAAACAATTTAGTAAGAGAGCCTAAAAAAAGGTAACAAAATTTAAGGTTTCTTGCTTTATTTTTTGTTTGAACAATACGACATCTCCTTTACATGCATCACCTGTATTTAAAGAAACATTTTGGTTTAAACTTTAAAGTAATTAATTGAGAAAATAAAGAAGAAAATAAAAAAAGTATTACCAGTGCAGTTAATTGAAAATGATGATTTGGGATATATTGACTCACCCCCTACATCTTTTAACCTGGATTTTAACAAGATAAAGAAAAAGGGTTTTTTAATGTAGAAAAAGATAGTTCATTGCTAGAAATGTTTTAATTATTTGATATAAAAAGTTCAAAAAGAACAAATGTAACTAAAAAGTTCATTCACTATACAAAAAACTATTTGCAGATAAGTTCTGTATTTTATCAATGGAATTGATATTAAACCTTTTATCAAGGTAAGATTCATAGCATCATATATTTTAAAATGTCATTTATTTTATAATTGCAAATAATAACTAACCTCTCATGCTCTTTGATTCTCTGTCTACATTCCTCCTTCGAACCAGATAACCTCAATCCATGCTTCCTCAAGTATGTCTTACACTCTACAAGACTTAACTCCTTTATGTCATTACTTCCAGAAAAGATAAAATAGCATTAAAGGATGTTTTGTGCACTTAAAAATGCACTTTTGTTTCTTTCTTTTAAATATTTTTTCCCATTTGAGCATAGAAAGAACAGTTCTCAAATCTATAATATCTTCAAAGGAAAGTGAGATGCCAAACAAGATGATCAGACGTAGGTATTTATCATAATGTTAATGCCAATCAAAATTAATATAAACCATCATTTGAGCATGTTGCCAAGTGCATAATCCAAAAAATTAGGTCAAAATAAACAGATATTACCCTACATAGCATAAAAAAGAATGTTTTGTGCACTTAAAAATGCACTTATGTTTTTCTAGTAGTGCATGGATTTGATTTTATCGAAATCTTGCCTTCTAGGTGTTCGATAAAATGCCATCTTCCATTTAGAGTATAAGGTATGATTCATGTTCTTGTTGTGATGTAGTCCCGATGTCTACTAATTACAACTGGTTTTTCAATATCTTTATTCAGGTTTCCATGACACAGAAACAAGATGATGAAAGTGACAACTTGATTGCTCCTGATCCATCTGTTTCAGAACCAAGGGATGACGGAAGTGAAGCTTCAAGCAGTGGTAGTGGGTCCGCATGACATCTTTCAAGCTCTGAAAATCGTTTTTGGAAAAGGAGTTTGGTTCATGATGCCACCAGAGACAATTCATGTAGTGAGTTTTGTAGGCCTTGTTGGCGATGGAGCTGCATTGATATGCTCATTGGATCTTACAAAGGACTTCTATTTCAGCAACTCTTATCGTGTCATGCATAGTTTTCAAAAGAATCTATCTACTCATGAGAAAGGGTCGTTTCTTAATGAAACAATGTTTGTTTGGAATGAGTTCTTAACTAGCACAATTCACAATCAATTGAAGAATAATCTGTGGATTGTAGCACTAGTTTATGGCTACTTTAAACAGGTATATCTAGCGTTCATTATTTTCGAATCAAGTAATATAAATATCTAGCATTCTTATTTCTTCTTATAAAAATTAGGTCAAACTTTCAATAGGAGAAAAGGACTTCAAGTTGACCCTCATTGCTAGATGATCTCGCCAGTATGCGGGAATTTGGTATGATTTCCTTAATCTTTGGAAACCTCCTATTTTGTCAGGCTCATGTAAGTTAGTTAATTATATTTCTATTTTTTTATATAGATACTTGAAATGAGGGGTAAATGAGAAAGGTCTGTGTTGCAAATGATGTTGAAACATAACAAATTGTATTTGAAGATGTCCCTGAAGGATGCCCTTTGCAAATAAGCTCTGTTGTTCAAAACTGGGGTTCAATATCCGTCTTCTGGTCACAGGACACTTCACGTTTGAATATTAAACATGATATCATATGTAAGAATATATAATAAAAACACTTAAATTGTTTAAATTTAAACATTTTCCCAATTCATTCCCCTAAATACCAAACAGGGGTTTTGAGAACAAACTATATAGACTGTTGGGATCAAACACATGTTGCTCAATTTGCATATAATATTGTAATTTTTCTTACAACTATTTTTATAAAAAAAGGTTGTTTCCTCTCAAGACTAGCCAGAAGTTACAAAATATGTACGGCTAGTTAGTGCTCAACCTCACAGGCAAGAACTTATCCAGGACTTGTATAAAACCTGGCAAGATCCTCAACGTGGAAAAGTCAATGGAGGCATGATCAGGTGCATATTACATATTGTGTTTGATATGAGGGGCGTTTATGTCTTTTGCACAGATGAGAGGTCTGAAGCAAGTCCCTGTCCTACCTTGTTTCACTTTTTTGGGGTGGGTTAAAAGAAAATATGTGTTTTTATGGATGTTCATAGGTTGGGTAATGTAGTAACTCAGATATTTGAAAATACAGGGAAAAAAACCAATGAGGATCATATTCTACAGGTATATATATATCTATATATATATATATATATATATATATATATATATATATATATATATATATATATATATATATATATAACTTCAACTGGTGCAATTTAAAAAAAAATATCCAATCCTCACTTTGTTTTTTGTTTACAAAGATGGTGTAAGTGATGGACAGTTCTATCAGGTCCTACTCTATGAGCCCGATGCAATTTGTAAGGTTGGTTTATAAATAATTCTAAGATACCTTTAATTTGTATTTGCTTCAAATGATTAATCAACAATTTCTATTATTTAAAATCATATTTTTCAGCATGTGCTTCTCTTGAACCTAATTACCAACCTCCAGTCACATTCATTGTTGTCCAAAAACGCCATCACACGCACCTCTTTCCAAACAATCATAACGACCGAAAAAGCACCAAAAAAAGTAGAAACATATTACCCGGTATCTTTTTCATTTTCAAAAAATATTTCATATTTATCATCATCTTAAATCCCAAAATATATATATATATAAAGGTAGGTTGCTATACTTGGTGATTTGTAGGTACGGTGGTGGACACAAAGATTTGTCATCCAGTTGAGTTCGACTTCTACCATTGCAGTCATGCAGGAATCCAAGTATGATAATTAAACAGTCATTTAATAAGAGTAGGATGCCATAATAAAGAAATTAATAAAACTACATTCTTATTTCTCTACAAAGAACTAGCAGACCTGCTCATTATCATGTTCTATGGGATGAGAACAATTTCACTGCTGAATGCTGATGAAATTCAATCTTTAACAAATAATATTTGTTACACGTAAGAAACTTCATACCATGGGATACAATGACACCACAGTTATTGAGCTTGATTCCAATTTAGCAGAGAATTTAACGAAAGTTTATGAAAAAATGGGTGACACTTTAGCAATTCAACACGGTGGTTCTGCAACCCACAATAAGGTAATCAATCCTCTGTTTTTTACTTATACTTGTTACATAAAATTTGGAGTTTAATATTGTTTTTAAACTTTACGATCCAGTTTTGATGTGTTTTTTTTAAAATCAGAAAGAAAAATAGAAATGAAGTGACTCACAACTTTATTGTTGTGGAAGCCAACTTGACCTACAGTTTTGTGAAGGAGTACTCCTACCCCTGGAGCTACACAAGGTTACTTTTTACTTTTTATTACACTTGTTATTTATTGTTAAATGCAAGAAACAACAGCATACTTTCTTTTACACGTGTATTATAACATCCTGTTTCATTTCTTTCTATTAAATCCCTGTACTTTGTTGTGTTTAGCCCTAGAATTAGTTATTTATACTATGGGAAAATGGTGAGATATTCATTTACTTTGTTTCATTTTTCAGTCCCTCCAAGTCCAAGTCCGGTGAGGGGCGTTTTAGACAATTCAGTCTTAGTCTCCCCATCCCTTCCTCACCTATAAACAAGGAAGAAGAAGTCGGAGGATTCCCTGTTCGTAAATCATCTCTTGCCCTTAGTGAATTCGGATTAAGGAATCTCGGGAGGGGCAGTTTGACCAGTTTGAGAAGTTATTCTTCAATTACTGTCCCTATCAACCCTACGAATAGTAACATTATTTCTACCAATAATGCCCTTGGTGTTGGTCAAGCTTCTGAAATGGCTAAGAGGGCTATGTTAGGGACAGATGAGAGAATGGTTCAGCAACATCCTCCTGTTTCATCTTTGAGTAGCAGAATGATGTTGCCACAAAGTGGTGTCAAAAGTACTGATGGTGATAATGGAAATGGTGGTGAGGGTTGTGGCATGGGCACAAGAGTTTTTTCACCTTCTGGTGTTCCTGACATTCAGTGGAGACCTGGTAGTTTCTTCCAAACTCAACATGAAGGGGTATGCTATATATATTGCTATACTATACATTGTATCTACATTAACTAAAATACTTTTTAATTTTTTTTAATAGGGACAATTCCGTGGAAGAACTGAAACAGATTCCAACAAGTACAACAAGGAAGCAACACCCTTCTTGGTATGCCTCCTATTTCTGGAGGAACAAGTCAATGATGTTAAGGACTTCATTGATGACTATGTGGAACGAAATCAGGTAATCATATACTTTTTCCCTTTCACATTTTCTCAATAATTTCTTTGAGGTTCTATCCTCTATGCCACCTTGTCAAATTCATGATAAAAGATTCTTGTTGTTTTCACTTTTCACAAAGCATCTAAAACCACCACAAACCATTTCATATGCTGGAGGATTTTGATGAGTTTGAGGATGTTAAAACCTTATCACTAGACAAAGTAGAAGCACTTGAAGATCTTGTTATCATTGGTCCACCTGACCTCGTTAAGGTAACAACATATCTGTTGTTCAAACTTCAAAAACCTACTTGAATTTATATTCCATTCATCATCTAGAAACTAGTTTCAATTACAAACCATGTCAACTTAGTCAAGTTAGTTGGCTTAATTGCCCTATGTAGAAGGAATTCATATGAATAAAAAATTTCATGAAAATGCTTTGTCTTCACCTCCAGTTCAGTCACCGGTATGTAAAATGACTAATCTACCCCCATAGGACGCCTCCCCATGTTCCCATATGCATAGAAAAACATAATATATTCAACAGGGAGCTTCAGTACATGAACAAAGTGAGGAAACATTATCCCTATCAACCCTACAAATAGTAACATTATTTCTACCAATAATGCCCTTGGTGTTGGTCAAGCTCATAGATAATAGCCTTCTGGACGTGTATGTCATCATATTACATCCTCCAAATACTACCTTAACATATATTAGGGTTTTTTTTTTTTTTTTTTTTTTTCCGCAGCTCTCAATCTGATCTGGAAGCTAATTTGCTTAAGGTATATATATATATATATATATATATATATATATATATATATATATATATATATATATATATATCCCTGTTATCTCCATTATAGCCATGTCTGAGTTTTTACAGTATACCCTCCACATTCTTATCATTATAAATACTATGTTTTGTTTTGAAAATGAACTTGCCTCTACAATGGATGTTGCTCTTGGGATTTTGATTATTGAGTAAAGACTTGGAGTTGAATTTGATTTAAATCTTGCATCATTATCAGCAAGATGCAGTAAAGACTTGGAGTTGAATTTGGCTAAGTCATTATTAAGTGAGATGGGCCAATGTACAACTACTTATCCATATAATCAGCTATTTGGAGCATTAGTCTTAAAGAATTATGAAAGGCAAGATGCAACTTTAGTTAGTTGGAATTTGATGTACATAGTTGATTAGATGCAAATTTATATATTGTAAGAGATAGAATTGTATGACATTAAATTTATGTAATAGATTCTATTTTTTGCATATGATATTTTATTTTCTATTATGAAACATTAAATACAAATTTAATTTGAAAATAAGTAAATCTATAAATAATTTTGTTTAAACATTTAAATTATGATACGCAAAAATGTGTGTCATCTTCATTTATGACATGACCTTTCTTGACAGGGCTTTCTGGATACGCATTGCGTGTCATTAACACGCACGTCGTAAGGTTACGACACGCGAATGCGTGTCGTCTTCCTTTATGACAGTGCCTTCCTTGATACGCATTGCGTGTCGTAAACGCGCGTCTTAAATGCGCGTCGTCTATAGACAACGCGCAAAAACGCATCGTCTCTCTTTATGACAGGGCCTTCCTTGACGCGCATTTGCGCGTCGTCTGAGCCTTTTACGACGCACAATGAGTGTCGTAAAAGGCTGTTTTTCTAGTAGTGCTAGATGATATTATCATGAAAACTTGATGGATTATTTGGAAATTCAGGGACACCCAAACCGATTAGAAAGGGAGTCCCCCCTCTCACCCCAATACCAAGAAGCTTGCTCTCACTTATGCTGATTTTTAAACAAGAAGCTAAAAAAAAAAATTAAAAAAATCAAATCAAATTAGCCATGTTCTCATATGACCACTTACCAATAAAAATCATCCAAATACAAAAAGTGAGATATAACAAAGTCTAAAAAACCAACAACTCGTTTGTTTAAAACACCATTTTACATATATTCTTACAACGCCAGGACAAGAATGACAAGAAAATATGAAAGCTAAGTCACTTTGTATCAATCCCCATTGAAAGTGAAACTCTTAGGTTGGCACATTGTTCACTAGAACAGAAACTATAATAGATTCAAGACAATCTTGGATCCAATGAGACCATCAAGAACTGAAGACCGTCTTCTCGAAAACGACATCTGAAAAGTCTCATCAAGCCCCTTCCCCACTCCCCTCTACACACACACATAGAGTTTTTTTGCCTTTTGATCTAAATATCTATTATTTTTAAGTATATATGAAAGGAATATTTTTGTTTGCGAAGATGGCATATTATACGAACAAAAATAAACATAAGTTTAAAAAACAAGTGGCATTTATCAATAAGGATTAAAAAGTCAAAACCTTTTAAAATCTATGATTTTTTATGCTGCTACTCTTGACATTTTGGATGTTCCTTAAATTGCTTCAAACAAAACAATACATCAATGATCAATATAATACGAGCTTTCATTAGACGAATTTCCATTATTGTTTTTATACATGATGCATGTGAACTATATATATACTCCATGATTCCGATACCGTTTGGTAAATTAACTTTTACTTTTTAATAGATAAGCAAAAACAACTTAACTAAATTGATAACACCCTATGTTAAACGATTAATATATTTTTTTTAACAAAAATGAATAAATTTAAACAAAATTTTACAGAAGCTCCGTAATGTTGGAAGATGAAGTGATCTTTGTGCAATCCGGTATGGACACTTCCGAAGCTACAAGTATTCCGAGATGTTGGTCATTTCAAAGTGTAGAGCAATCCAGGATAGAATTTCTGTTTAGAAATATTTTGTGTGTGTAATGCATTTAATGTTGCAAGTACTCTTTTGTATGGTTCTTATTATTTTGTAGCGTTGTACAAGAGACAAGATCAACAACAACGAATGTGTCAGTTTGTTGATCATCAGATGTCTCTTAGTCTATGTGCACATTTTTGTGATTTGTCTTTAGTGCATTCCTATCTATTTAAGGAATTGTCAACCTTAGCTGAAAAGTAGACTGAATATATGCAAACAACAATTGTAAACCTTTTTCACTCATATCAATAATCATTGAGTCAATCATTCTCTTACATTCTTCTTGTTCTTAAATCATTTTACATTGTTCATACTTATTGTCATCGTTTTCTTATTGAACACTTTGTTGATTATCTTAATTGTGAGACAAGACTAGTTTACCAGACTTGACTAGATCTTTATTATAACCAGACATTAATCTTAATATAACTCAAGGTTTGAGTTCTTAAACCTTGTCCGTGTAGATCCTTACATGTGCAATTGGTATCTGAGCCTAGGTGGTTGTCTTTTGAATCTATAAGAACATATTATAGTTGATTATTGATTACCTTGGTATCTCAATCATTTATGTGTTTAGCATAAATGTGTTGCATAATTAATGTGTCTAAGCCAATAAGTAAATCGGTATATACATGAATTAAAAAGCAAAGTCATTTTGTGTTGCCATCATAACTAGAAATAGCTAGAAATAATATTAGGAGAGAGAAAGATAAATGTTTTATTAGTATATATTCATTGGGAATAGATAATTGATATATTAATTTGTTATGTGATTAATAAATTAGCAAGGTATCAATAGTTAGTTAATTTATTTGATAATTTATATGGATAATAAATTAATCAGAAATCAATTAGAATTAATTAGTTATTAATCAGAATTAATCTAAAATTAATTTGGGATTAATTGGATTTAACTAAAGGTGTAAGGGGTGAATTGCAATTTTTTAATAGTTGAACAAAAGAAGCAATTCTAGAATCATCCAAGGGGTGAACGGAATTAAGAGTCTTTCTAAGGTTTGCAGAAGCCTCCTGGTTGCATAAAAGGAAAGAATTTGAATTAGGATTAAATATATTATTTAATCGATTCAGATTCTCTCATTTGCATGCAAGTTACCTAAATCATAAATATGACCCATATACCATCAATTTTCGTTCATGACATTCCTAAGAGTATTAGGAACAAGTTTTCCTTCTCCTCCCTCTCTCTCCTCATCATTCTAGGGTTTCTAGGGTTTTGGATGTGAGCCATCAGAGGCATAAGATTTATGGTACTTGCTTTCTAAAGCTTGTTCAAGAAGGATTTTACTGATTATTTACAACAATAATCAAAAGGTATGTAAACCCTAATCTCTTTGTGAATTTCGAAAATATGAGAGTATTCTTAGGGTTTTTGATGTTTAATTGTTTGTTGGAAATCAGTAGTGAAAAGATAGATCCATTAGGTTTCATATAAACTTAAGGTTAAGTTTTTCTGCCACTTATTTTTTGTAACCTACAAAACCTATCAGTATTATTAGATTCAGGTTTTCATTAATCTTGAAAAAAGTTGAATAGATCAAATTTAGGGTTTATAGAAACTAAAACCTTAGGAGGCAATTTTCAAAATCTGCTAAGGTTCTTGAAACCCTAGCCTGCACCTTTAGGTTTTCAAAATTTGTTAGGGTTCTTGAAACCCTAGCCTCCCTTAACCCTTTTTGAAAATTGAGGAGCCCCTTTTAGGGTTTACCTTGTTTCCTTATTTATTATTTCAAAAGCCTTTAAGTTTGAACAATTAAAACCTGATAAACCATAGCCCTATTTTCGAAAATTAAGGGGCTTTTGGATTAGGATTAAGTTTGAGTTATTTTATTAATTGATTAATTGTAAATAATTATTTAATCCATAATGATTAAATTAATTTAATTAATTTTTTAATTAAAAGATAAATATAAGCCATAATTGGTTAATATTAATTAATTAAAAGGCTTAACTTAAATAATTAATATCCAACCTTATATTTTAAAAGGTTTTAAAATATACCTTATATACTATTATTAAAAGTTAATTAGTATATGTTTAAGACAAGTCAACCAAATTGCTAGTACACCTTATTCAAGAAGCCATATTATAAAGGGGGTATAAGGAAACGACATATATAATGACCGCCGTTGGGTGTTCATTCTCACCCACTGCTCCCTTGTATGATGGAGGGTTATTAGCCGAACACATTTGATAGGACATAATCTCATTGAAAGTATAATGATATAAATGTAATAGAAACTTCTTTAAAAAAATCCCACTTTCCTTACTTTAAGAAAAATATGAAAATTAAGCTAATCCATGAAACACACATCATGCTTTATATGTTGTTAGCGGAGCGTATATGGTTAACCGACACACTAATATGGAATATAAAAGATATGATAGGCATCTCGAAAATTATCATTGTTGATGGAGCATGTGTGGTTAACTGACACATCAATGTGAGATTATAAATGGCATTGAGGTTGTCAAGCGAGTTTGCATGGTTATTCACATCTCGTTTGTGATCCTCGACATCCCAGATACAAAAGTGAGAGCATAATCCAAGATTAAACATGCCATTGATAAGATTCAATGAATGTTAAATATCTAGGAGTTTCATAAGATTGGAATTGGTAAAAGCCTTACCTACCTAAACTAGATTCAAATTTTATTACGACATCCCTTTTCAAAATTCGAATAAAAAATATGGATCCTAGCTTTAATTTAAATTTATGGGTTAATGATTAAGGATTAAAATAAACTAACTTGAATTCTATTTTCTCCTAATTTTAAATGTATTATGAATATAGAAATGGTCTTCCTCATTCTCATGTAAATGGTTTTCCTCAATCTTCTAGAGACGGTCTTCGAATTTCAAGTCAAGGTGAAATTGCTTTCCCTTCCATAAAAGTTAGAAAATAATGGAACTACACATCATCTCTCTTCAACTCTTCCACCTCCTCCTCATGTGACTCTCCCAACATCATGTGACTCTCCCAACATCATGTTTCCCTCAAGTTGAAAGATATGAGACTACTCAATCCCTATTGGAATGTAGGCATCAAGATGGAATTTTTATGTGTGCGAATGTTATTAAAATGAAATTATACGTTGACAAGTTGGACAAAATGGGTGTCATTTTCATAAGGGAGAAAGCCA